AGCCATGTTGTGGATGCATTCGCCACTTTGTGCAGCATTTTCTCCTTATCTAGTATGCAGTGAGAAGTAGGGGCAGGTATTTGTAGATAGACTATTAATATAGGAAATATAAATCACAATCAGCACTATTTACCATACTTGAGTTTATACAATCGCAATTAGAAATTTTAGCTCTATCTTTGAAAGTCAGGGAATGGAGTTTGGTGAATGCCTTTGACCTTTACAGCCAATGACATTAAGACACTCACTTCTTTACTTGGATATTGGCTAGTTTCTTGCCCCTTGACTTATTTCTTAGCTCATATGAATCCTTTTAAGCCAACAGCCTCAATCTTAGGGTGGAGTAATGATTATCTCTCTTATTATACACGCATGCCTCTTCCCAAAGCAGAAATTGTTCTCATTTAAGTTGGTGAAATGGAAAAAGATATCTTGAATGAGGTACCATCTTTCATGGATTAGTTCAAATAACATTTAAAAAAAATCATTAAAAATTTTTTCAATTACAATTAAATAATTTTTAATGAACCCATGTTTAGTACCTAGTACTGTTCTAGAGCCTGAAGTTATAGAGAGAAAAAAATGCAGACTCTGCACTCAATCTGGGAGAACAATCAAGAAAACAGATATTTTAAAAACAGTATGTTGTGAACTGTGATGGTGATGCATACAGGGTGGTGTTGAACCCCAGATGTAGGTGGATAAACTCATATCAGGAAGAGCTTTCTGGAAGTGACACTACTTTGGTATTGAAGTGTGAGTGGACATTAATTAGACGATAAAGAGGTATTAGGATGTTCTAGGAAATGGGAAACCTGGCAGAAAAGTGAAACACTGGGAATTTTAGGAAGTCTGGAGTGCTTAGAGCTTAGTATTGAAGGTAGGACTTTGTATGTCTGCCCCTCCATTCCCAAGGAATCTAAAAGACCGTGTAAGAATAGACTGACAACAATAAGACAAATGACTTTATATTTTACTTGAGGCTAGTTTTTCCTTTATTGACCTCATTTTGGATTTTGGTGACCTGATTCAAGGGGTGAGCCTTTTCTGTCAAATACTTGATGGAGGATTAACAGTCAGATGTGTGCCTTGTTGTGTTTGATATTATTGCTCTGTATTTTGTTGCAGCTCCTGCCCATCCACACTCTAAGACTTGGCATGGAAGTGGATTCCTTTGATGGGCACCATTATATCTCTTCGATTGCTCCAGGTTGTCCTGTTGATACACTGAGCCTCCTTCAGCCAGAGGATGAACTTCTTGAGGTAAAATATATGAGGGAACAGACATAGGACAGGAATTTTTTAAGCTCCGGGAGGATGTGTTCTCACCAGAAATCCACTGAATTACTTTATCACCAAGGCCAGTGTAATGTGACCTACTTAGATTGAAAAAACTCAGTGACTGTTATTAATATAGTATTGTATACCTCAAAGTTGCTGAGAGTAGATTTTAAATGTTTTCATTACACACACACACAGATGGTAACTGAGATGAGGGATTTGTTAACTAACCTCATTGTAATCATTTCACAATATATGTTTATCAGATTATCATATTGTATACCTGAAACTTATATAATGTTACATGTCAATTATATTTCAATGAAGCTGGAAAAAAAAAGACAAAGAAAAATACTAACAGCTTATGTAATGATAAAGAAAGTAGATAGTATGTTTTCAATTTATTTCACCCATCTTTTGGGACTCCTAAGATGTCCATTTGAGTGCTTATTTAAATGATTGACTAAGAAGAAGCTAATGTCCTATTTTGGTTTGATATCATCATTAGCACTTTTTTGAGCAAAATTCTGCTTAAGAATCTAATCCCTGACTATTATTTGCAACATACAGTCACATTTATTTGCAGGTTTTGTTGATTATTTCTAATAAGGATTAGAACTGGACAACTTCAGGCTTGTTTTCTTGACTAGTTTTCAGATTGTCTCCTTGGGACTTCCTTCTCACAACATGACAACATCTAATGGACTCACTCAGGCTCCCCAGCCTCTCTTCAATCAGACCCAATTCTAGAACACTTCTGCTCTGACATGACTTTCTTGGAAGATTTTGTTAGGTTGGAAAATTCTATAAGCTAAACAACACCAAAACCCCAAATTTTACATATAAGAAAATAAGGCATTGATTTCTTCCAACTTTATATACGGATAGCATGATGATTTTAATTCATGTTTTCTAACTCCCTTTTCACTGTTTTTTCGAATACATCACACTACTTCTTAAGCTCCTAAAAAAGATGTGGGGAATGGTCAAACTTAGAGAAGACTCTGTATAGAGGGTTCTTTCTCCAAAGAGTTAGGAACCACAAGAAGCCCTAGGATGGGTTTAATAAAATTAACGTAGTAGTCTAAGCCAAGATTAGAACCCCATGAGCCTTGATTGTAGAGATTTCTTTCTAAAATTTATGTTTACTCAAAGCGAAATGACCAGGATAGCAAATTGGTTTCTTGTCAGGTGCAATTGTGTGTTTTGTTTTGTTTTTAAAGCAGTGTCCAGTCACCTAGAAGAGTGTGTTGAATTTCAAGGTCAGAGGGAAAAGTGCTATGACTAATTGTCAAATTCTGTGATAAGCATGGGAGAGCAGGGTATTAGAGTCTTGTAAGATGTAGTAAGTTGCTTATTTTTAAAGGTTTCCCAAGAATGATATTGGGATGCTTATAGGCGGATGAATGCCCTAGATTTTACAATACCACTTATGGGTTTTGTTGTCATTTTTGTTATTCTGAATCATCTTCCTTCCTGATTTGCAGGGCCCATGGCATAGCCTTGTGCATATCACACACAATATTCTGTAGATTGGAGACCATTTGGAAACCGTTCCTCTAATATGTAGTTATTAGGTACTGAAAAATGAGATATGTTTGGAAGATATGAAAATATAAGCAAAAACCAATTTAGTTCACTTTTTTTGTGGTAAAATATACATACCATAAAATTTACATTTTAAGCATTTTTAGTGTGTAATTCAGTGGTCTTAAGTCTAATTTATTAGTATATGGTAGGTGATAAAGAAATGTTAGCTGTATCTGAGTAGAACAAATATAAGTGTCTGTCCTCTGTGACTTAACCAGCATTAGAATTCCAGAGCCTACTACCTTGCAATAGAATGTGGGGTGATAAGGTAGAATGAAGACCTGAATTCATAAGTACAGATTTTTGGTGAAAGAACTTGGAATATGGAAAGAAGCACAGGTTTAAAATTCAGAAGAGCTACTTTTGGTTCTGAATTTGCCCAGTTTAACCATGTACCTTTGGCATGTCACTTAGCTTTTTTGAGAATCAGTTTCTTCGTCAATAAATGCCTACTTTACTACGTGTTTGTGAGGATCTAATGGAATATCACCCATGTAAACTATAAAGCATTGTCTCACTGTGAGAAACTGGCAATATTATCATGGGAAAAAGGCATAAACAATCTTTATGGGATAGGATGAATGAGAATTGAATGAGGTAATGTAGTGGCACATTACTCCTACAGTATTATGTACTCTGCAAATGAATATGCGTGTGCGTTTTCTAATCACAGTCTGAACAATTGAGACTTGATGGCACTTAAGAGGGTCTCAAGTTGAAAGGCCTAGAGAAATATCGTAAACTCTAAAATAAAAATTGGCTTCTTCTGAGTAACTGAATGTAGAAAAAAATATCTCTGTAAAGTTAGCCAAATAAACTCCTGAACTTAAAGTGTGCGTGTGTGTGTGTGTGTGTAATGTAGAGCTTAAACCAGAAACACAAATATGCTTTGGGGTTAGAACATTGCTCCAAGTTTCAGCCCAGAGCAGCTATTTACAGCAGCCATAAATCCCCTTAGGTAGGAGTTGGTAATGGGAAATGTGACCAATCCCTTCAGTGATAGGGAGCAGTGAGGACGACTACCAGGCACTGCTATAATAATTGGAGACAATTCAAATGAATAAATAATGAACTAAATAAATATTTAAATGTACTCCAAGATAAAAACCTGAAAAGTGATTTTCTAATTTGTCGAAGTACCGTGAAACACAAAGTAATACTTGTGTATGAGTAGAATCCCTGCTTTGATTGTATGTGCTTGCTTTATTTTTAAGGTAGGTTAATACCCATTTGGTTGGTTTTAGAACTTTCTGTGCTGGGCACTAGTTGGCATTGTGGACATGGTATGACCAGTGACGGGTACCTCTTTACCCATTTTCGTGTGAAAATTAACTTGTAATTCTTCCAAGGAAAACCTTTCATCTGCTGCTGGACTTCCTATCCCCTGGATCCCTTCATCAGTCATAAAGTCTTGAGAGATGGTATTTACTTTTCCTCTAGGGCTAGCTCCCTGAAGCACATGTGGGTCTTTCTACTATGTGGTGATTTCTTTGTAAATAATTAAGAGGCAGGGAGATTGTCTGGCTTGATGGCTAAGTGCTTGGTACGTTTCAGGCCTGAGAGTGGTTCCTAGGGAGGATTGATTTAGGGCTCAGATCACTGGTGATGAGATGTTTCCAACAACCCACTGTGCTCTTACTCTCTGAGCAATGACAGATTTTGTGGAAAGGTCCCTCCCAGGAAAGGCAGCCCTGCCTGTTATCTGGATATTAGCACTGCACCTGTCAGAAATTAATGCCAGACCAGAAATGTCTTTAAAACTAATAATACTACTGAACTCTCCCAGAAAGGTAGGAGTCAGATGTGAGAAGATTATTTGTTGCCTGGATTGTGTTCATGACTCAGCAATTTTGGTGACTTTTAGTCAGAACTGACAGAGCTCCTTAAGCTAAAGTCATATATATAGAATATTAGAATAGACATCTTTCTAAATCATCTTTGATGTAAAATACTGTTATTGTTCACTAAAAATAGCTTGAAATTTAGATAAATTTTTGTAATAGGCAGTCATTACTAACGAACAATTGGTTGTCTTTTTGTTTTTTTTAAACATAAGAGACACGCGTAAAATAGTTTGAAAACTGACACATTTCCTATATTTGATGGCCGTGCCAGCAGACCATGTAAGAATAGAAATGATGCAAAGTTATATGTATTTCTTTTCTATAGAAGCAATTTTTCTAGGTCTGGTATTAAGAGTTTATGGGATGTGAAAGAAAATTGTGAACTGATGCTAAATTTTGACAGCCTAGTATCCTAGATTTTGTTACCTACACATTGTAAGTTCAGCAGTATTAACAACCTTAAAATCAGTGTTGATATCTGTAGTGATATTCTTACAAATTGAAAACAGCAAAAGGAAATTGTTTTAAGAAGGCTGTACATGATATTTAATGTGTTTAAGGAGAGATGGGTAGAAGTAGATGAGAGAATACAACGTTGGGGTACAGAAAGGGGAAACCATGGAGGTATGAAAAATTAGGCAGTTCACTCACCCAGTAAAAGTGATACTCTGCACATATTTTATGCCTTTTTCACCCAAGTTTGATAAAGATTTAGCCTTAGTTTTTATAAATTTTAAGGATTTCTAATGTTTTTAGTTACTGCTAAAATAATATGATTAAATTTAGGCCCTTTATTTATAGGGAAAGTAAAACGATACCCTGTTTTCATTTTGATAGATTGATGCGAACAAGAGATTTTTGTTTTTTCATTCGCGGTCTCATCAATTCTGACTTATCCCGTGTCTTTCTAGGTCAATGGTGTACAGCTCTATGGGAAATCTCGCCGAGAAGCAGTCTCCTTTCTTAAAGAAGTGCCACCTCCCTTTACCTTGGTTTGCTGTCGACGGTTGTTTGATGATGAAGCGTCTGTAGATGAACCAAGGACCACTGAACCCTCTCTACCGGAGAAGGAGGTACTAAATGAATATACTGTGGTTGCCATAGGCACGCCCATTCATCAAGGATGCCCCAAAGAGAGTATTGCAGTATAAAGGGAGGGGGGAATACTTCCCCCTTCTTTTATTTCACTACATTAGCTCTCAATGGCAACAATGCATAGCTTTTCAAATTGTTACTTTTTATTTAATGTCATAAAATTTTCCTTTTTTCCTCTTGAAATATTGGTGACATTAATGAGCATGCACTTTGATTTTAGAGGACTTTTTAAAAATAATCGTCTGGGCTCATTATTTTTGGCTCTCAGTTCAACTCAGTTCATCTTAAAAGTTTAAGATGTTGGTGAGTGTTGACTATCTAATGAACTTTCCTTTTTCAGAGCCTTAAAAACATGAAGATCTATGACCAATTTCGAAGTGGGTCTAAATATTGCTGTAAAAGCTTTCAGAAGGTCAGAATAAAATAACACTTTCTGTGCCTTGGTACTCTTTTTTTAAGAGCTTTGTAATTATGAAAACAGTTTTAAGCACATGCTTTGTTATCTTATACCATTTGTAACCTCATCTTTTATGCTATTTCCCCCCTTTTCAGACTCTTCTAGATTATAATTCCATTAACAACAGTTTAGGTACACAGGGGCTTCTCTTTTACCAGCCTCTGGTCTGAATTTTAAGATCCATGGACCCTAATCCTGCCTCTGCAACTTAATGATTGTCAGTCTTGGAGCAAATAACTTGACTTTTTGTTTATATTCTTCCTCTGAAAAATGGGGATTGTTATCGTACTTACCCACCTCATCAGTTTGTATGAAAAGGAGATGAAGTAATGTGAGCAAAGTTCTTGGCGCAATGCCTTGCACATGGAAAGTGCTCAGTAAAAGTTAGCGCTAGCTATTCTTGACTCCCCTTGTCCACCCATCTTTGTTTTCCAATCTCCTAAAGTACATAAGAGTCTAGCAGCATAGCGTGTCCTGTAATCACAGATACTTTAGTGTATATTAAGCTTGTTTTTATAGGAAAACTGTTAGTTCCTGTGAGTAGAGGACATATCTTAAAATTATTTTGTATCATAGTGTTTTAATCCTGTACTGGGCATATGAGAAGTGTTTAGTAAATTATTGATTATTGATTAAGAAACTTTTTTTTAAATGTTTACCTTTAGTTAAAACATACTTCAAGGAAGGGTTCGCATGCCACACTTTTGTGATTCTTGTCATCTTTATTAAAATTGAATGTGGGTGATGGCTTACCTCTAAAAGTTGATAAAAATGCCTTTAATCTAATCTTACAGGGTGTGTAAATCACCAACTCAGCTTGCTGACTCTGTGCTCCCATCTGTCATACTTTACCACAATGGGTAAACAACAGCTCTGAATTATGCTAAATGTCAGCCTTGCTGCCCATTAGTTGATTGCTTTCCATTCTGTAAATACAAGAGTTATGCAGAATTGATTGTATCAAAGTGATATATTTCAGGTTGGAGTATAATATCTTATATAACTTAAATGCCTTGAAATTTCTATAAACATGGGTTTTATAATTTCATGTGGTTTCTTAAAATCCAGGCTCTCCTTTCCATCCGTCTCTTCTTTAATTTTTCCTAATGTCATTTTGGGTTCCTGAACTCTGGTTAGGCAGCTCAGCCAAAGTTCTAATGCTCATTAATCAGCGAAGGTATTAAATGCCCCAGTAAAATATCAATCATATTATATTAGCCATTGGAACTTTACTCTTTATTAGAACGTATGAGTGTTTTCTTTTTAAGTGTATCATTTCCTCACATCAGACTGATATATACAGAAGTTATTGATCCAAAACATTCCCACTAATTTCAGGTTTTGTAATTCAAGAACCAAGAAATTGTTCCCATGATTAGTCAATCCGCCATGGATTGAGTATTGACTTTCCATGTCCTGCGAGGGTGGTTTGATATCTGGACCAACCCTAATTTAAATATGTTTTCGTATTAGCTATGGTGCCTTATTCTTCCATATTAGAGGGGTTTCCTTCCACCTTTGAAACCATTAAATGAATTTTCTTGTAGAGGTGACTCAAAATTATATTTGTAGAAATAATGCTTTCATTTTATTTACTAAGATCACCCAAAGCTTTAAGAAGTCTACTTTAAAAAATTATTTACTCTGTAACTTTATTTAAAAAGTTTCAAGGGAAACCCACTATAAGATGGATGGTTTATTAATGTATTGAACAAATAGTTGTTGCGTGCCTCCTAGGAGCCAGACACTATATGGGTTGAGTGGATAACCATGGTAAACTCTATAGTAGCCTGCACAGTTTCCATTCTAACCTAGGATCCAAGCATTGTGTTAATTGCTTAGTACTGCAGAGAAAAAGAAGATAATTCTTGAACTTCTAATAGAAATTTAGAGTATTTGGAGTATGTTAAATCATATGAAAACAATACGGTGCTTTAAATAGTATAAAAACTGAAGGTTGAAAGAGCTATTCTTCTGCATAGTTGCCTTATTTACCCTGTGTTCTTTACCTTCCTAGAATTCCATATGCAATGACTCTTTTTCCTGAAAGGAAGGGGAGCCTGGAAAAATGAGATTTGGGGGTATGAGGTCAGGGAAGATAACCAAGAACCTTGCGCTGACATACTTCCTCCAAGATCATATTTTAGTATTTCAACTCAGTGATTTTTACCTGTTTTTAGATTTACATGATTCCCAAAGACTTGGATTTTTTCTACATTATTTTTCTAGTTAACTTTTTCTTGAAAACTTCTAGGAGCCAACAGAGTGGTTTCTCTGTGTCTTGTCCTGCCCCGCTCTCTGCGTTGGCATCTTTCTCTGTCTTTTACTGTAATTATGAATTCAGATATTGCTACTTAAATATCTTAATGAGCTTTAACTTTGTATGATGTTTTCATTTTTTCTTAAATTACATATTTTTCCTTTTATGCTTCTAATGGGATGACAGAACTCATTGAAGTATAAGAGGTCAGTGTTAATACTTTGAATGAAACAGGTAATTTACATTAAAAACTATATGAACAATCTGCATTATTAAGTCCTTTAATTTTTATGAAATTTTATAGTAGACTGTATGTGCCCCAGTGCATGCCCCTTTTAAAAAAATTAAAAAAAAAGAGAACTACGCATGCCAAAGAGAATCCCCATTTTGAAAAGAAGCTATTAGATTCCCGATATGTACTTGTCAGAACTGAAAGAATAGTGTTTTGAAGCTTTTGTGTTCTTTGGTGTTTCAGGCTGACCACAATATAGATGTCAATGCTGAAGAAGATGATGATGGGGAATTAGCACTGTGGTCTCCTGAAATCAAGATTGTCGAACTAGTGAAAGATCATAAAGGCCTGGGATTCAGCATTTTGGATTACCAGGTATAAGAACCTCTATAGAGTTCTTGGAGTGATTAATTTGTATTAATGTTATATGAAGTAGTAATTATTTAAGGCATCAATTAACTTAGGCAAAACTAAATGATTTGATGTATAATGCTACTGTCCAAAGATAGGGTGTTATAATTTTCATTGTTACCTTTAAAACCGATAGCTCTCTCAGTGAATAAAATGATGGATGATATTATCTCTTGCCAATAAGAAAAGCAATAGCTTTATACCCATGGATGCTTTTAGAGACTGGAACTTGATGGATTTTTTATATATGGAAAGTTTTTCCCCCCAACTTTATTGAGATATATTTCATATACCATTGAAGCCACCCATTTGAAGCGTACAGTTTGGTTACTTTTAGTATATTCGGAGTTGTGCAACCATCACCACAGTCTAATTTTAGAACATTTTCATCACCTCAGAAAGAAACCTTATACATATTAGTAGTCATCCCCAAGTTTCACTCTCCTCTCCCTCCCCTTCACATGGAGGTTTTTATAGTTTTGCTTACTTATTAATCTCAATGAACTTAAGTAGACATGTTCTTGGTAAAATTGTATATTTATATTTGATAATGGAGCACATAATATTTATGTATTTCTTTATACCCCAGATATAACTAGGGTAAATTATTGATGCATTTGAGGGGAGGATGTGCAAGGTAACCATAAGACATCTATATGCCTTATCAGTTTACCAGTTTATAGTATTTTTAGACCTTCTGATTATCATGGAGAATTAAAACTGTTGGCAAGAAATAGCTTCATTTTTAAGATGCATATTTTAATACATTTGTGCTGCCTAAACACATTGTGGTTTAATAAAGCAAAATGTACTCTGTCAAAGCACGTAAAATGCCAAGTGATATAAAAATCAATTCTTTTATTTTTAATATAATAAGGCATTCGGGAATAGGTTAAAAGAAAAATACTTTGAGCATTATGTAAGACATTAAATTCCATATTTTGGCAGTGTAATTTAAGATTACTGAAATAGATTATATCTGTTTTGTTTTCGCTGGCATATTTTTGTGCCAGATAACCCTCTTTGTTATTAGAACTTCTCTTTGGAATATTATTGAATTATGAGTTGTTGATTCCAAATAATGCATATTATGGGAAATACTTTTTATGAAGATATCAATACTGTAAGATTCTGGAAGTTTATATGTTGGTTAATATTAGAGTGTATAAAACAAATGGCAGGTACTATCTCATGTTTTTCTTCCCCAGTGTAGTTCTGTTTATTACTTAGCACATGGTAGGTGGTTAACAAATATTTGCAGAATGAGTGGGTAAAGTTTAGCTTAGCCAAAAGTAACTGAGACTAAATGAACACATTCAGTGGGATTTTTTGTTAATCATTTTGATAATTAGAATTTAGTTTAGAAAACCCTTTCAAATATGGTCTTAGATATTCAGCTACATTTCCTTTATCATTGGAATCTGTATATATTTGCATTCTTACATAATAAATATATCATAATGGTTGCTCTTATCTTGTTAAACAAAATTATCTGAAAGTTTTGTATTTTGAATATTGCACATGATAAAGCAGAGAAGTGCTTCATAAATTAAAAAAGCAAAAACGAACTTCAGTAAAAGATGGAAAGAAAAACTTGTTAGTCCTTACGAGTTTAATCCCTAGTTAACAGAAACATTTCTTTATGAGTTCTGAGCGTTACACTTTTTTAAAAAAGATATAGTCAGTTCTAAGTATGAAATGTTTTTTTCTTCACTGCATCCCTATAGGTGTACATTGTAACACACCTTTGTTTTTTTTGAATTTTATTTTTATTTATAAAACTCTAGGTTTTTTCCCTTGTCTCATCTTTCTTACAATCATCATTACACATACAGTACCGACATTTATTTCCGCACAAATTATACCTAGTAATTGTGTTGCAAAAGAAGTATTAGATATTCTTTTTGTTTTTGTGCTTCTTGGAGAACTGATAGAATACTTGATTGTCTAAATGCTATTTTGATTTATGTTAGAGGGCTCAGCTTATTCACTTCTATAGCTAAACTTTGGAAGAAGTCATAAACTAAATATTTTTCTTAAGTCAATCTTAAGTACGCTTATAGTTGTATACAGCATGTTTTCTATATACAACTATAGAACTATGTAGAATTGTTATCTACTGTGACATTTAAATGACATGTAAACACAATTTAAAATTTGGTTTGGGGCAAGTTAATTGATTATACCATCTCGTTGTAATTAGATAATAAATTATTTTTTGCAAGGCCAGGTGAAGGTTTAGCAAAAGTCATGAAAGGCCACATTCCTAGTTATTATTGTATTTGATGTGTCCTATAGGAATTTATTAGGTAGGTAAATAGGACCAATGCAGATCCTCACCCCCACCCCAGCCACAGGCTTAGCATATTTAGAATAAGAAGTAAAGTAGAAAAATCTTGGCCACAGGGAGTAGAATGAGAGAGCTTCTATATTGTAAAGGACCTGCATTAGCAGTACTGAAGAGATTGAAAATTTACTTTGGAATATTAATTTTAGTCAACCACTTTTCTCATTAATGGGGTTTTCTCTAGAATATTAAATTTCCCAAGAGCCTGACAAAATTGTATACAACATTTATCGCATGGGCGCTTATGCAATTTATTCATCTGTAAAGTGGGGATAATGCAACGTCTAGCGCAAAGGTTTGTTTTGGGTTAAATAAATCAATGTGTAAAGAAGTGGAAATTTTAAATTATGACAATGTATTATTAATAATTGTCCAATTTAGAAAATAAAGACAAAAAGTTTTGATATTTTTCTCAAAGATGGAGCCATACTACAGTATGTATGAATTCTCAATTTTCTACTATCTAGTTATATTAGGAAAATTAATGTTAGATGCCTTTGTTTAGTGAAGTCTAAATTTAATTGTAAAATTACATTCTAAAATGCAGCCAACTCTTAATGAGCCATATGTGAATTATCCAATTGTAGAATATTGGCCAGAAATTTGCTTTTTACATAAATTGAGCCAAACCGTAGGAGAAGATGAGTGAGCAGATAAAAGATCTCGAGTTGGCCATGGAAATACAGGGTAGCCATCTGGACAGGTGATTCAGTGATTAATTTTTGATGATAGTTGTATAGTTGAGCAGAGAACAGAAGCATGTCTTTATACCTGAAACGAAGGAGCAGAATCTGATATATGGTTCTGTAGCTCAGTCATATGGCCAAAGAAGAAAGTGTGGAAATTCATTTTCATGAAAGACATTTTAAAGAGATTGGGGTGAAGGAAAAAGAGAGAGCAACAGGGAAGATATAGTACATATGATTCAGATTATAAGTCTTCTCATTAGATTTTATGGTAAAGTGATAATAGCTTTGTTGGCTGTGATCTGAATGAAAGTAGAATATTTGTTAGTCTAAACTGTGCCTAGGTACTACTCCATGTGATGGCTAGTTAAAATCCTGCCCGGTATATGTACCATACTCGAAGAGTCATTGTTCACTGTAGTGTCATGCCTTAAGAGATTCTGTCATGGAAAACAGCAATGTGCATAATTTGTCAAGAACATGAATATTGTGGCTTAACTTTGTACTGTGTTTTTGAGCAACATAAAACCCTCAGAAATTTGTTTATAAGTTTTTATAGTATTGTTTCTTGCCAATTCCTAGGTGTGGTTTACATATTGTGCCCTAGTTATCTTTATCTTAATTTTCCAATATTTATGTGTAATGTCTTTATTCCTTGGAATATTATTAGTGCTCAGACTAATATTAATCTTAATATTTATATAAATAAAATTAATACAAATCAATAACAATAGCTAACATTTATTGAGTGTTTACTATTTGCTAGTTACATTGTTTTAAATGCTTTATGTGTTCCTCACAAGAACCATATGAAGTACGTACTATTATTATCCTTATTTCAGGGATGAGGCACCTGAAGCACGGAGAGGTTTAGTAACTAGTCTAAGTTCACACAGCTAGTATATGACAGAACTAGAATTTTAACTCTGTTGTTGGCTTCCAGAATCTGTACTTTTAACCACCGTACTATACTGCTCCTTTCCTTATGAGTGGTGCTTCCATGTGCATTTTATTACCGGGGATCCCTGTAACAAATTTATCATAGCAGATCTTATTTTTCCAGCTTGCAAAAATTTCGTATCTTAAATACAAACTGCTAGATAGTATTCTCATTTTTAATGCTTATATGAAAGTTTAGTAAGTATTAAAAATTAATATAGTGTGTTCATATGCACATTGTGTAGGAGCTAGTGTTTATTGCTTCAAATGAAAATAATTACAAATTTAAGAATCCTAAGTTAGTGCAAGTAATTTATGGGTTAATGTTTAATAATAAAGAAATTTTTAGGTAGTCTGAGAGTCTGTAATTTTTAATTTCTACCAAAAAGCTAGAAATAAATTTAGAACTGTGGATTTTACCTTCAGTTGACCTTATAAATTAAAGATGACAAGTGGATATTTTCTGGTGTTTTGATTTATGTTGAACTTTGAATAACCCCTCATGATTGTAAATCACTAGATATGTTTGACATTAGCCAATTTTTGAACATTAGCCATGATATTGCCATTCTTGATACTTTTGAATTTCAATGATTTAGCAGGTAAAATTTATTAACCAATAGTTCTTCTTCCTCCTACATCCCTGCCTCATTTCTCTCCCCTCTTGATATGGATGGATTCAATTTTTGTCAAAGCAGATATTTTTTAAAGCATTTGGGTTTACCTCTGACACTGAGATAAAAATAGAAAGCATAATAGCACAGCCACTAAGAGGTGATTCATAATGTAAATACTGTTAGTAATGCTTTAAAAAGTTGTTTGAAAGACCACAGGCAAATGATGGTTCATTAAAAAGAATAGTGAAACTATTACTCCCTATTAAAATTAACAGCAATTAATTTTTCTTAATAGAAGCAATAGGTTATAGAACCCAAATAGTATGAATATAAAATATTGCAGTATTGCTGTGTTTTTGGATATGGTATACCATA